AAATTTGCTGAAAAAAACAATCTGTTGATACTTTCAAGCTTCCCTTTGATTAACACCCCCCCCTCCAATTAAAAAATGGTAATATTGTTATCTGTTACTAAGGCATTAGTATACCTATATATCAGATATATATGTTGTTAAATTATCTAGTGGTATGAATACTTGAGATCTTTCTTTCAGAGTGTTACTTTAAGACAAAAATTTTGTTAAAATGGAAGTTATCAAAATACTGGTTACTCTTAGTGATATCATATATGTTTTGGAGCCCTAATAATTGCATGATTGTTGTAAAGGTTTTTCACAAGGATCAATGGTTATACTGTATTTAGTTTGATACTCAATCTTTCAAAATGTATTGATCACTATTTTATACAGTAATTTACACCTCTAACCCCCAGAGTTTGTGCCACTGCATGTGGTAGGGGGAATGCGTTCCCAATTTTTACCCCTGATTGTGTTGTGTGTCTTTGTATCAGGCAGCACATAAAGCAAGTCCTACATTTGCAGTCTGTTGATTATTTTTATTACAGGGTAGTCTAATTACATATGCGCCAGCATGCAACCTCAACTTAGTAACTTTTTGACTATCACTAGATATAAAGGGTTTTAGAACCAATGTACTTCTTTTGTTAACTCTCTCTTATTACCTACGAACTGTGTAGCTTTTGATTGATATACTGCTTTATACTTTTTTGTTTAACCCCACTAAAGTTTGAATTGTGTTGTTCCAGCAGATATTGATATTTACTGCAACTGGAAAAACTTCGTGAGCACAACTGTTGCATATATCAATAATCTTTACTAACTCCTTGCCCTTGGTTTTCATTCTTGCACTGTGTATTAGGATACGTGTCTACATCATTCACAGTTTGGCTGCTAGAGGGTGAATTCAATATTTCCTGAAACAACACATTTCGATATTCCTTTACTTTAGGAAACTTAGAAGAGGAGCAGGTCTCAAGTTTAGATGAGTTGATACTTGGTAAATAATTGTGAATATTTTATTAACTTACGGTAGTGAAGCCAATAATTTACGTTCCAGGGATAGAAATGCTTATCAATGTATTGTTGTTGCTGCAATATATCCGCGTTAAAGTTAATCCATCAGATGCAGTCGAAGCAAATACACGAGTTACTATTTTCCCTCCTGCAGTACTCCAACGCGAAGGTTGAAAATTTTCATTTCAGTAACCATGGTTATGAACACACCTCCGTCACACCTCTACATTGCTCCAATGAGAGCTTGCGTTTAGCTTTCCCAGAATGCACAAGCAATCGCCAACCACAAGTTCACTTTTATTTCAAATTTTCATGTGAAACGTAGATGCGTTGTATTTTCCCTCTTATTAGCTGTAAAAGTTCTATCTGATATTGGATATCTTGTGGTAGCCTTTTGTAGGGTGGAGTTTTTCTTGCAAGTCTTTATGACCGACTTTCACTCTTTCAGGAAAGGTAAGTAAGTCGAAACGTTGGGTCTAGGAATTGTAACTTCTTCGGTTACATCCATTAAATCTGTAAACCAGAGTAGCATCAAACCATGTCTGAAGTAGTTTGCAGCTTTGTCAGCAAGGATTCGTATGAAAAGTATTCCATAGTGGCTCATTTCAGTTAGCCACTCGCTTGTTAACGAAGAGGACAACAGTTGTCATTTAAGTTATTTGCCTTAGATATTAATTTGTATGATAATTCTTGATCCTTTCCTGTAGTAATTGTTCAATGTTTTCGCTATCTAAGGCTTCCAATAATTAAAAAAGAACAAAGTAATTGTGGAAACTCTGAGATAGCCGTTTTGAGGGGTGCTGTTGGACAGTACAATGTAAATATACACACGTATACACACGTTATCCTACGAGTCAGTGCCACCGATGTATAAATCAGCCTATGTGGTGGAATGTCCATAGACATTATCACTAAACATGTGTATGATAGTTGATGGTTTTCAATTCTATTGAAAAATTTCCAAGCTAGTCCTAGGTGAAAGATTTAGGAGAAATGACTGAATTAGTTATCAATTATTTGCTCAAAAACTCCCACAATTCTGCATAAACACTTGGTTTGGGGATGGGTTATATCCTCAGCACTGGGGGCTATCCCATTTTTTAACAGTTAGGAAAATGAAGTTTAATTTGCACTACTATATGGCAAGGTAGTCTTGAATTAAATACCACCACTGATTTGATCCACTAAAACCATTATAACTGGTATACTTTTG